ATATGTAAATATTATGCGAGCATTATGTGCGCGTAGCTCGGGCAGAGTGAGGGCTTACGGCAAGCTGTCATCGCCGTCTAACAGCTCCAGCGATGTGAGACAAGGATGCCCGCTGTCAACTTTCCTCTTCAACTTCGCTATTGATGAAGTCATGGAAATCGCGTTTACAGGATACGACTTTGAAGGTGTGGATGCTTTCCCAGGAGAACGACTTCGACTTAGAGTATGCTGATGATATTGCCCCAATTTGTGACAGCTCACAAACGTGCCAAGCGGCACGGGACAGATGAGCACTGGATGTCCGTCACATCGGGCTTTGCTTTGCACCATCCAAGGGCAAAGCGTGCCTCCAAGATTGGTCTGGACCGCCTCCTGCGCTGATGCTTGGTGGGGATCAGCTAGAAGTCGTTCGGAAATTCAACTACCTGGGAAGTTGTATCAGTGGCCGTGGGATCGAAGACGAGATCACGAACCGTATAGCAGAAGCTTGAGGCGCTTTTCCTAACCTTCGCCACTTATGACGCGGGCGCGACATCACTCTTGCCCTGAAGGGTAGAGTGTACAATGCCGCGGTACGTTTGACCCTACTGCACGGTTGCGAAACCTGGCCCCTAAGATTGGCGGACATGATGAGGCTAGTTACGTTCGAAAATCGGTGCCTTCGCAGTTTGGCTCATATCTGGTGGAAAAACAGCGTGAGTAACGAGCGTGTTCGACGCCTTGCTTACGGCACAGAAAAAGGAAATGAATCGCCCAGCACCGTCATTTTTCGCACCAGGCTCCGATGGCTGAGCCACGTGTTACGCATGCCAGTCCACCGACTCCACGAGGTGCGTTGTTTGCTCACCGGGGATGTGGATGGAAGAAGAGGAGGGGTGGCCATGCGATGACTTGGTCCAGAGGAATGAAGGCCCTCACATCTGAGCTGGCCTCGGTTGGAGCGTCACGGCTCCCTGGTTGGGGTCCGAAAGACGATGAACGCGTTTGGCTGGATACATTTGTTGACATGGAAAGGAGCGGACCTGAGTGGCGTTCGTGATGTGAGTTTCTTTGTCCCACGCCATCCCTCTTAGCCTCCCCCTCCAACCACGATCTCACTATTTAGCCTTATATTATTTTGTACAGTAATTTGTGTTGATGCACAGTAGCCGGCTGGTAGCTTATCGGAACGATACCCATCCGTTACCGGTAGCTCAGCTGACTTGAACCTGCATATTTTTCTCCTTTTCTTTTCTACGTATTGCGGCACAGTAGCTGAGGTGTTTCCCATCTCTAGCTAACGTGTATAATGATGATGATGCTTTAGGAGCGGCACATTCGTTAATAGAGAAGTTACGTCCAGTGAGAACATTTTCTTCTCTTGTAGGCTCCCATCTTTAATGTGGTGTACGAATGCAAAACTATCAAGCACACTATGTTGAGCAATTCGTTTTCTTATGGATTCCAACATTTCTGCTAACCATTGGGCTGTGAAATGATATACTGAATTTGTCATGGATACTATTGGCCTCAGAGGTACACCTTCTTTATGAACTTTTGGGAGCCCATACATTCGCGGGATAGAGGTTCCGACTGGCCTTAAACTCTCAAGTATGCAAGCAGGTAGTAACCTGCTGGTAGACACTTTATCGGGGTTTTCTCCAGCTTGTCCGTTTGGTCCTTCTTGCCCACTTTTACAGAAAACTTTGGCCTTGGAGAATCTGGTTCATTTTTGAAACGTAATCATTTCTATCCATAACTATACCACTGCCTTTATCCGGCTTGTAAACGGCTGTCTCTGTTCTTCTTCATCTCGTTTATAGCTGCCAGATGTTTACGTGTAATCACGTCACGTTGATTTGTCTGATACTTACGATATTGATAACAACAACAACTAACAAAGGAGAACTTAAGGCATTCGAGCGCATCAGTGGATAGCGCGGCTAAATCATGGGTTTGTGTCAGCAAGTTTACGAATTAGCTTGCGAGATCTAGCTGAGGTTCGTAAACAATAAAAAATGTGTCAGCTGTACGCTGTAACGGCACTTCGCTGCAGTGCGACAACCATCAGTCGCACGCAGGCTTAGTATACCGCGAGGACGCTCACACCTAAACGGATTCGAACCCACGCCGCAAGATTACGAGACAAGCTCACTACCTCTAGGCTATGGGCCGACGTTGACGCTCGTTGCGATTAGGAAAACATAATTTGTAACCGAGTGACAATACCTCAAGCAGTTCAGGTGAAAGGACCAACTTTGGATAATTATGGACATACTTTTCTGGGTGGGTTGGGAACTCAGCAGGTGGCTTCATAAGGCTAAGTGAACGTGCCAAAGCATCATGTTTTCGCACTTTTGTCTACGATCTGCTGAACAGAATCCAAAAATAGCCGATTTTCCTCTGGGATTAGTGCACCAACACTGCATTGTCTCTGGGCGATGTTGCATTGAAGTTCAGGTATTTTACCACAAATAGTATCGCGCTGGTTTAGAGGTGTAGACGAAGGGTTTTAGAGTTTGTACAAATACGATTTTGGCAAAGATATTTCCGAAAGGTCGTTGGGTATGCACGACTATTCACATAGTCATACAAAACAGTATAAATTTAGCCGATTTTTTTGTCACTTCCGGTAAATTTGGAGCTCAAGGCATACAGTAAAATAGGAAGTACAATACAAAAGTCACTAAAGTTGTTGAACGCGAAGGAGTTGTAGATATAAAAAAGGGTAAAACAAACGTTAGCTAGACGAAGAAACGCGGAAATTCAGCGACATGCTGATACAGAGTGTAGCGGAGGCGAAGCGCACAACGAGATTTACTCGGCATGTTTGTTCAACAGCATATTAAGTCTCAAAAACCGAAGTACTTTAACGTTGCCACCTGAATAACGCTAATGGTGTCCGATGCAACAAGGATGTTACAAAAATTGTGTATATTTCCAACGTTTTGTGTAGATTCGTCATAGTTAGACACGGGCAGATAGGCACCACACATCTAGGAAAGCGCTATACGGCCAATTCCTCCTATTGGGACTCGTCAGTGGCGCGCACCCACCGAATCCTGCCAGATCCGAACCCACGACCTTACTCTTGGGAGTCAGCGACTTATGTCACTAAGCCATGGGCGACGGCAACGGAGCGCCATGGCTGATATCTAACAGCGATATAGCCCGGCTCATCCTCCACTGCCTTGTATGTTTTGAATGTGCAGAGGGCAGGGCTGGCCCCCAGAGCAACGACTTCCTATGCAAGCCGCCCCCAATCGAGGTGGCAAGTAAGCTGCTAAGGCGACTACTGATTATTGGTAAGTAGTAGGGGGATTTATTAGGTTTTTGTGTAGATTCGTTGCAGTTACAGGCAGACAGCCACCGCACATCCAGGAAGGCGCTAGACAGCCGTTTTGTCCTATTGAGACTCGTCAGTAGCGCGCACCTGCCTTATTCGAACCCACGCGTGGGTGCGCGCTACTGACAAGTCCCAATAGGACGAAACGGCCGTCTAGCGCTTTCCTGTATGTGTAGTGGCTGCCTGCCTGTATCTAACTGCGACGAATCTACACCAAAACCTAATAAATTCCCCTACTACTTACAGATATTGTAAACTAGCCACAGCGAGCTAGGTCAGAAATAAAGGGTCGATATTGAGTCAAGAAAGGTGCGTATATAGCCAGGTATTCTAAGAGGCGTTGCCCCATGCTGAGGCTGATGTTGCATCATGATGTTCTCCATCGCGGTTTGGCTAAACTAGGTCTTTTTAAGCTGGATAAAGTTCATTCCACCTTATTTGGTTCGTTCTACCTACTTTCTATTAACTTGCACACGTTGGTTACGCTAATTGTGGCTATCGTCATTAACTTTATCGCAGTTGTGACATTCTTGGAATAACTTTTGGACATTTTGTACTTGTCGCGCATTCGTTGCTAACCAACTTACTTCATATGCTAATTTAGCGAAGAGTTATGTCTGCATAGCCGTACGCTTTAACAGATATATTGTATTTAATTATGTCATTTCAAGTGATTGGCTGTTATTTGACATCCCCGGTGTGGGTGCGCTTGATGTGCATGTTGACTAGGTACCTACCTGTCTATTACCCACTACTTCGTTCATACTGGCTCAAGGAGACAGTTGGTCGTTGCTGGAGGGGACGGGGTGCACGGTACTTGTGGTCGTGCTAGGCGCAGAGTGGTTCCATGCACTCAGTGTGGAGCGGACTACGGTCCAGCCACCGCCTTGGGTGCGTCTGATTCCCCAAATACAGCGTGCTTGTGTTTGCCTGTAAAGGAGTGTGGGTCGGCTCCGTTGATGAAACGCTGCTCCCATCTACATAACTCCCGGTCTTATTCCTTCGGGTTTACACTGGATATGGGGTGTGTAGATGGAACTGTGGGTGGCGCAACGCAAGCCACCATGGTCCCTCTATAGGTGCATGTGTACTGTGGCTGGCCACAGTGACATGAAAATTCGAAACCGGATGCCGCTAACCATTCCAAAATGCGACAAAGCCTAACGCACTCGTTTCATTGAGATATGGCGCATGTTGAAAGCCAATAAATACTACTAATGAATATGGAATAGAACACCCCAGAGTCCGACCACCGTTGTCGAGTAATGTCGAAATCAGATTGACAGTGAAAGGGTGAAGAGTGCAGTGGACCCGGAAGAAAGCAGATAGTTCAGTAATCAAAATAGTGGAACAGCACTTCACATGGTTTGTGAGAAGTTGGTCGCGAAAACCCCGAAAACGTGTATTCAAGAGCGGCGATTTAACAGCGGACCTACGTTTACGATGATATTCATTGAGTTTTTTTCAATGCTGAGAGGACAATTAGACGTGAAGCAATAAAAGTTTGATCAAATTTTATGTTGGTTGATCTGTACATAAATAGTACGAGTGTGCTTATAAAGTGGGATCCTTCAGGCAGCTGCATTGATCGCAGCAAGAGCAAATAAGGAAACACGAAACGTTTCGATGGTCAGTTAAACGTAGATGTAATAAAAACGGAAAAAGCGCGCCAATCTCAAAGGCTTCTTCGCGCCATTAGCACAGCCGACGGACAGAGGCCTAAAGGATGGAATAGGGAACAAAATGAGACACATTAGACAATACGGTGTTACGATGATGAAACAAACAAAGACGACGCGCATAAGAATGCTATGCAGTGATAAAGGAAAGAATACACGATCGGAGACATGCAGATGGTGACGGTCTATTGCGTTTGGTTGATGCGCCGGTAGGCAGTACACCAGGGGATGCAACAACTTCAAGAAAACCATCCAGAAGGGGCAACAATACAGTACCAGCATCCAAGTGCTGAAATCCAGGAACAGTTTATCGGTGTTCGACGATGTGTGACACTGAGGGCGCGAAGATAGCACGCAATCGGAATCTTTGCGCCTAATAGCGTTCAAGTAGATGTGAAGGCTACAGGAGAGAAGTTGGGCTACAAGTGGATCAGTGTGCCGTACGCGATGGGATTGTGACAAGACAACACTTCAAAAGTGACACACTATGGAGTACACTAAGGGTTCGTGTTTCTAATGTCGAACAGTAACCATCATCCAAAAGTTTCCGTTGGAGAACGCCTTTGACAGATAGATCAACTATGACTCACCATTTATTCATTATACACGCTATCTGCAGGTGAAAAGCACCTCAGCAACTGTGACGCAATACAAAAGAAAAGAAAAAAGTGAAGCAGAGGAACGTCGGCTGAGTCACCAACAACCGATGGACAATGTTCCGGAGAGCTAACAGCCGGAGACTGCGCTTCAAAAAGTCATATAATGTCTATCAGTTCAGCTCTTGGTTGCAGAGGGAGGCTAAGCGGAGAAGGGACAAAGGAACTCACAAGACAAATGCCACTGAGGTCTGTTCCTAGCCATATCAACAAATGTATCCAAGCAAACGTGTTCATCGTCCTTCGGTCCCCAAACAGGGAGCCGAAAGGCTCCAACCGAGGCCAAGTTCGAAGTAAGGGCCTTTATTCCTCTTGACCAAGTCATCGCTTGGCCACCTCTCCTCTTCTTCTATTGTAAGCACGGCGCGCAAACAACACATGTCGCGAGTCGGTGGGCTAGCATGTGCATCATGTGGTCCATCCAGTGGAGTCTGGTGCGCGAAATAACGTCCTGAGCGATTCACTTATTCTCTCTGTGGCATAAACAAGGCGTCGAACACGCTCATTGCTCACACGGTGTTGCCACCAGATATGAGTCAAACTGCGAAGGCAGAGGTGATCGAACGTAGCTAGACTCTTTAAGTCGGCTGATCCAACGGGCCGGGTTTCACAGACGTACAGCAGTATCGAACGTACGACTGCATTGTATACTCTACCCTTCAGGGAAAGATTGATGTCGCGCCTGCGCCATAAGTGGCGAAGGTTAGCAAAAGCGCCTCGAGCTTTCGCTATAAGGTTCGTGACCGTCTTCAATGCCAACGGCGCTGACACAACTACCTAGGTAGTTGAACCTTTGAACGACTTCTAGCTGATCTCCACAAAGGGGCAGCGCAAGAGGCAGTCCCTGCAAACCTTGAAGGAAAGGTTTGTACTTAGAGGGCGAAAAGCATAGCCCAAAACGACTGAGAGCCAGTGCTAATCTGTCCAATGCCGGTTGGCACGTTTGGAAGCTGCCACAGATGAAGGCAATATCACCAGCATATTCTAAGTCAAAAAGTCGTTCTCCTGGAAGCAGATCCACACCTTCTAAGTCATGTCCTTTAAACGCGATTTCCATGACTTAGTCAATACTGAAGTTGAACAGGAAAGGTGACAGCGGGCATCATTGTTTTACACCGCTGGAGACATTGAAGGGCGGCGACAGCTTGCCGTAAGCGCTCACTCTGCCTAAGCTACGCGCGTAAAGCGCTCGCATAATATTTGCACACTTCTCGGGCACACCTTTCCTTAGCAGACAGTCCCAAATGGTACGTCAATCCACTGAATCGAAGGGACCTTTGATGGCGAGGAAAACGACAACGGTGGACCGCCAGTATATGTGATGGTGTTCCAATAACTGACGTAATGTGGATATGTGGTCCATGCATCCCCTACCACGAAACCCAGCCTACTCCTCACAAATTTGGATTTCACGGTCGCTAGTCAGTCTGTGAAGGATTACAGAGGCAAGCATTTTGGAGGCGATGGGGATCAGACTAATTCCTCCATGGTCTCCCGAATTGAAAGAGGGCTGGATGAAGATCATCAGGTCCAGCGGCTTTATTTAACTACAACAGTCCGATCGTATGTTCGACTCTTGAGCGAGGGCGGTTCCAAAGGGACAGCCCATGGAGCTGAGCACGCCGTGGTCGGTGAGGGATTTAACAATTCCTGTCGATTAAATTGCATCTGAAAACGCACAGCCCAACGCTCCAAAGGTTTTGACAACTTGTGGATATGCTGTCCACTCTCGTCACGTAAAGATTCACTAACATCAGGTCTACTGCTGCCCGTTCCCTGTATCAGACGGAACAACTTCCGTCGGTTACGAATGGTATCGACCACTTCCACCTCTGACGCACGATGACACCGCCACGCTTCACTGTCTCTCTTCAGGTTAGCACGGAGTTTTGCCCTGATGTTTCCGAGAGTCTTGTTGTGTTCGCTTCCAGTCGGAATGTGCCGGCGAGCATCCGTAAGTTCCAAAGACTGCGAAGATACCCAGTGTCTATGTTGGCAAGTGGATTTACCACATGATGATTTACCTGCTTCAAGTAAGATCTGGTGAACATGCGACCAGTGACCTTCAACTCAGTGAGCACTTGCTCAACCCGAACGGCAGCGTACATCGATACGCATTCAGAACACCCGGCTTCGCCAGTTGGCTGGTGTCAATGCACTCACAGAGTCGTCTTGAGCGTCAGCCAAAACGCACCCGCAGAGCAGCACATACAAGTGCGTGGTCAGTGTTCACGTGCTCCAAATCGAGCGGCAGCTTTAGACGCAGCCTATCCAACGGTTACTGATCGCGATGTGATCGATTTGCGTCCATGGCTGGTGGGCGCCATGTCACCTTCCGACAGGTGCTGTGTCGGAAGTTAGCGCTCGCAAGAAATAAGCGAGCATCTTCACACAAATAAAGTAACTGCTCATCGTGTTGACCGCCCAGATGCAGCTTATCAGTCGACAATTCCCCCACTTGAACGTTCAGATTCCCAGCAAGCACAACAGTGTTCGTGCTTCTTCTTTGGCTAAGGAGCACGTTCAGTTGACGATAGATGTCATTTTTCACGGAATCATCGGCAGAGCTTGTGGTTGCATAGGCAGCTATAACGAATAGACACCTGTTAGCCCCGCGCGACTTCGAAGCTTTGAACGAGCCAGTCAGTCGGACCGCACACATCCGGCTACTTATTGGGTTCCAATTAACCAGAGCAGCTACAGCCCGGGGACTCAGGGCAATACCAACACTTACTTGGCCGATACTCAAAGCTGCATCGTCGCCGGATAGGCGCAATGAGAAAGCATTGCTAGTGTCACTGAAGGGGATCGCAAAGTGAGAAGAGAGCACGGGTCTTGTAGGCGGGTTTCAGATGGGCAGCAGATATTGATCGAGAGGGTCTCTAATGTTCGGGCAAGTGCTGCCTGTTGACCGATCTGTAACAATGTGCGTACGCCGAGACATGCCAAGCTGAGGGAGGATCGGAAGTTACAAATAGAAGCCGATGAATCGGATTCGACCACTTGGTTAGACATGGGCTTGTCGATAGGGCAAAAGTGACGCTCCGAGTTTGCATGAGTTGGAACTAGAAGATAAACGCCCATCAAAGCATAGGGAAAGGGCAAAGAATTAGGGGATTGAAAGGGAGGGGAGAAAAGTGGAGTTGGAACGGGAAGATAAGGGTGAAAAAGCGTAAAAGGGGGAATAAGAAGACGGGAAGGCTTGAGCAGTACCATCTAAACCCCAATCCACCCTGCTCGACGCAGCAGATAGGGCACCGTTGATTATCCTCTGCGGTGACAAGAGCATCAGGAAATTGTTTGCGAAAAGAGGCATGGTATTGCGTGGGCAAGATACTGTTCGGTTGCCCAGGCTTAGACAGGAGAACGATTAGGGTTCTCAACCAAAGGTTTTGGTTCAAAAACGCACGTTTGGCGTTGGGCTACAAGGTGTACGTTTTAAGGAATAAGGAGCCACCCTCATTCCAAGCCCCAACTTGAAGGACTAGGAGACTGAGTTTGTCTGGCATCTAAGCATTGACCAATCTGGTATGAGTGGCTCTGAAAGTGCAAAAAAGCATCACCTAGCATAGCTCAGTGGGTCACTGAGGCACGCAAACCATCGCACCACGGGAAGGTCCATTCTCATTGTGTGGAAAAATATGGCAAGTGATCTTCGTGCGCACAAGTAAGTAGTCCCAGATGAGCACGAATCTGTTTTACGGAAACGGAAGAATGTTGGAAGCAAGCAGGAGCAGACTCACCGAACATCCAAAGTAATCGAACTATTATGCCAACAGTACTCTCAGAGATTAGAAACTAATACAGACGTCCACTGTGGCAACAAGATGGACAAGAGAAGGAGGACCAAAAAGGATGCAGAAGCCGTTGGCTAATAATGTAGTATCATTTTGGTACGGTAACCAGCGCTAACAGAGTTCAAGGAGTATATAGAAGTCATAGATCAAGGTTTTGGAGAAAAAAAAGACCAAGCCTCAGATCAAAAGTGTGCGACTTTTGGCTGTGTCCAACTAGCTGGCAGTAAGGAGATTTCGAAGTTGATCGGATGATATTCGCAGGAAAAGTGGATATCTACAGGATAGAGAAAAAGTAACTGTTTCAAAAGATGGGTAGTAGGGAATAGTGAAGTGGACCAGGTTTTGTGAAAATAACTTCACGAGTGCAGCTGGAATCCGTTAGACTCAGTTATGGACCAGAACAGGAAAACAACCATTTAACTAGTCAGAGGCGCAATAAAGTTTCCAATTACCAGCCACATTAAACTGAAAACGAAGAAACCAAGACAAAGTAGTTAGATGTAGAAGAACTAAACCTCCAAACGTTTACGGAGGAAGGTAAGAATAAAATAAATAAATTGGCAGCTGTACGCCGTAACGGCGCTTTG